GAGCGGGTTCCGCCCAGGTCAGTCCATTGTCGCCGTGGTCACGGTCGCATGACGGGCGGCGAGGCCTCTTTGTGCTAGGCTCCTGCGGCGCGTTTAGCTGCATCCACTGCTGTGCGAATCCAGGAGCCTGGGACAGTCAGGCCTGATCCGCCATCTTGGCTCTCCCTCTTACCACCTGTGGAAGGAGCACAGACAGTTTTAGGAATGACCTATCTTACAAAAAACAACCACCAGCAAACAGATCAAGAAAAGCCAATCAGTATGAACTCAGTGTTCTTTGTCATTTCAATTTTCATTATCCCTGTAGACCTGCTGACTTTTCCAACAGTACAGGGGAGTGGATCAAGCGGAGGATTGGAAGTTGAAGCCATAATGTCTCTTGAGGCCATGTGCTGTCCTCAAATTAGAGCATCGGGTCGTGGTGCCATCTAATGAGTGACACAGTAAATACCTAAAATTGTCAGTAGAGATTGCAATGTCTTCTGAAACGTGCTGATTTTGTACATAAATATGTATGAAAAAGGTACAAACACACTGTGCACGAAAACTATAAGAAGTGCAACTTTTGGATACAATTTTAATAATGAAGCAATTGAGAGACCACTTTAAAACTTGTTTGTGATGAAAGTACAGACAAAGAGCTTTCTAATAATATAGGTTCCATAAAAATTGGAGGATATTCTCATTGAGAAAAAACGGTCCGAAAATGGGTTACCCCCCAAGGCAGGGGGTCATAATTGCCCCCACCACAGAACAACAGCAAAATATATACAAGATATCAATGTTCTAATGGAGACCTGAATATGTGCACTTACACTAACAGACATTACATTTTGAGATTTCTCATTCTGTTCAGGTGAAAGGGCCACCTGAAATGTGCCAAATTTTGGGTTCTGCCTGTTTTTGAACAACAACAGCACAGACATGAATTGTCAATTTTGTTCCTTTTACTTGTAAATTGTTTACTTATGGAAGGTTAATAATTCCTGAAAAAATGAAGTCCATATCTGTATTAGTTTTTGAGTTATGGCCCCATGAAAATGGCTATAATTCATTTTGCCGCATCTGAGGGTGCCACGCCCACTTTTTGACCCCCCCAGAAAATGAAAACCGCTGGGGGTATTGAGCTAAAACTTGGCATTTCTTCATTTGGTCCCATATACGACATTCCTTTAAAATTTAAAAGAAATCCATGACCATGACACTGGGAAGTTCCTGGAATTTGGTTGATTTCATATGGAATGACCCAACAGCTGAAACATATGCTGCCATCTGCACGACGTCTGTTCCAGAGACATCCCAGCACTTTCCAGCAAAACAGCGAACCACATCCGACACGGGTTCAGAGTGCAAGGCTGCAAAACCAGAGTGCACGGGTGCTAGACTGGCCTACCTGCACATCTGATCTGTCACTGACTGAGAAAGAATGGCACATTATGAAGCGAAATATGGCAACAAAGGCTCCGTACAATTCTGCAGCTGACTCGCATAATGGAGGACTGGGGGAAAATTCAACTTGCCGTACCTGACAAACTGGTGTCTAAAGAGCTCAAAAGGTTAATTAGTGTGATTGAAAAACATGGCAATGTTACACCCATGGTAAACAGAGTGTGCCTTTTTTGGACTGCATTGCAGTCATCACATTGCCTACTTTCATTTAGTAACTAAATCTGCAAGAAAAAAAAAAAAAAAAAAAATCAAAGAAGACATTGTCATCAATATCCCCCACCACCCAGGAATTCTATTTTAGAACCCAATCAAGACATAACTAGTAACATACACACAAAAAATTGAATTCATCTGAGAAAACTAGTTTCTAAAAAAAAAAAACCTTGTCCCTAATTATTAAGACAGACAAGCCCGACTGCAATATCCCCTACTCCACTTTGTGGCAAGGTATAATAATCTAGCATTGTACCATCTTCATTATAGATGCGGATGAATGAACTTCAGTCCTTCAGGTTGCATTTGTATTTTCCCCAGTTTTTTCTTGGGTTTGCAAGTCAATGACTCCTCCAATGTCCATAAACAGACTTTGTCCCCCACCTGAAATATAGACGAAAATGCATTTTTTCTGTGTTTAATATATCCACACGTGCCAATTTTTTAGGCTAGAGTGTTATTTGGATGACGTCCCAATGTTTCGTAGACGAATCGGGAGCGAATCGTATCACTGCACACGACATGACTCGGCCTCCGCCGCTTTACAGCACAGACTCTGGCTCTAAACTCCATGAACAAAACACACACCCGCAGAAAACCAGAGGAAAATCAATGGCTGACGTCACGAAGACTTGATTGTCATTTTTCACCGTACAGGACAGGGCCGGCCGTTATGTGACGCCCCCTATCCTCACCATTCCACCAAATCAAATCAGCACTCTGCAGTCAGCACTCAGCTGCCATCGCTGTCCATCAGATTACCTCACAAAATAGCAGTTTCCTCCAAACCACACCCACTCAATCTTCATGGGTCTAATCCTCCGCTCCATTCAGATCTCCTCCATACCACCGCTGCAAACTCACTGGGTGTGTACAAACATCCACTAATCATCAGATAAATAACCAATGAGCCAAATGGGCCTCATTCAGGGATGAGAGCGAATTTAATTCATATCTGCCGGATATGAGATGGGCCTTTTTCCTCAATAAAAGAGTTCCTCTTCCTGACAGGGAGGCCTGGTTTGTAGGGATAGAATAATGCAGAGAATACAAGCTCAGATTTGACCCACTTTTTTATACACACGTGACCGCACACAGCAGCAACACACATTACCACACACAAGCAGCACACATTACCACACACAGGAGCAGCACACATTACCACACACAGAAGTAGCATGCTTTACCACAGACAGAAGCCGCACATATTACCACACGCAGAAGTAGCCCGCTTTACCACACACAGAAGCAGCAAGCATTACCACACACAGAAGCAGCACGCATTACCACACACAGAAGCAGCACGCATTACCACACACAGGAGCAGCACGACGTTACACACACACACAGCAGCACGACACACACACAGGAGCACACAGGACACACACACACAGAAGCAGCACGCATTACCACACACAGAAGCAGCACGCATTACCACACACAGAAGTAGCACGCATTTACCACACACAGAAGCAGCACGCATTACCACACACAGAAGCAGCACGCATTACCACACACAGAAGCAGCACGGTTCACCACATGCAAAGGCAGCATACCACAAAAAGACACGGTACGCATTCCCCCACAGAAAAGCTGGACGTCTTTCCACACACAGAAACAGGGAGCACACACACACAAAAAAGCAGCACGCATTACCACACACAAGGAGCATGCATTACCGCACACAGACGCAGTACGTATTCCCCCACACAAAAGCTGCATGCATTTCCACACACGAGCAGTATGTACTGCCACACACAAGAACAGCACACATTACTGCAAACTGAAGCAGCACGCATTACCACACACAAGCAGCATGCATTACTGCACACAGATGTAGCACGAATTACTGCAAACAGTAGCAGCACACATTGCCACATGCAGGAGAAGTGTGTATTACCACACACAGAAGCAGCATGTAGAACCTCATACAGAGGCAGCATAAATTACCACACAGAGGAGCAGCAGGCATGACCACACACAGCAGCATGAACTGCCACACAAAAGCAACAAGCATTACCACACACAAAAGCAGCACACATTGCAATGTGCAGCAGCAGCATGTATTACGACACACAGGAGCAGCATGCCTAGTCAACGGAGGTGACAATTGTGAATTGTGATACAACACCCCACCCTGCACACAGCCCAAACCTTTCCTGCTCACAACCCAACCCTTTCCCAGCGCGCAACCCAAACCTGCCCAAGCCCACAACCCCAACCTCTTACTCTACCCGAGACTCAACTCCTTACCCTACCGATGACCCAACTCCTTACTCTGTCACCAGTGCCAATGCTACCAACAACCCCACCTTTGAGGGGGGGCAGGGGAAGAGAGGGCGAGAACGAGAGGGCAAGAGAGCGAGAGAGAGAGAGAGAGAGAGAGAGAGAGAGAGAGAGAGAGGGAGCAGGAAAGGCAGAGAGACCCAGCGTGATTTAAACTGTGATGTACTAAGAGCAATATGGGTGCCTTTAATGCATAATTCATTCAGGCTCCATAAAAGGCTTCCATAGTGCATTTATTCCCTGTGCAGGAGCAGTCATGTCATCACAGGGATACAGGAGCTACACAGATCTAACCAACATGCAGTCTGCCAAAAACACACTCAAACACACACTCAAAAATGCGCACAAGTGCTGCCAAACATACAATCTCCTCACTACAAAGCCTTTGAATATCATGGAGGAAAAAAAAAAAAAAAAACCACCCGCAGACACGCACACAAGTATTCATAAAACACTCATTTTACTCCAGTTCCATTCAAAACGCATGGGTCAAAAGAAAAGTAGTCAGGGAGGCTGCAATGAATCCAGGTGCTGTCCTAAAATTAGATGAAAGATGTATACGAAGATGAACTCCATGGGGTTAATAGCAGAAAGGGTTTAGAAACAATATAATCCAGTTAGGCCATTTACAATTGAAAAGTTTGTAAAGCTATAGATGGCGGTTGTATGACATATCCCACCCCTTGCCCGCAAAAGCCAATTGTCTGCTTTTTACAGCTGAGCCAGGAAACATATTCAGCCAACTGTGTTTTTGCATTGACGTGAAGCCCACAGTTCAGATTCACGACAGTTTGAACTCTCATGGTTTCCACTAATTTGGCAGTTTTTCGTTCAGGTGCTCAGGTGGGATGAGTGCATATCATTCAGTTCATTGGGATGAGCTGACTGCGTCACGTCACAGCACGCTATAATGGAAGTTGTTGTGAAACCTTGCGCGTGCATAGAAATATAACCTGCGGGAGAAAATACGCTCTAATGTAATTTTCTGAGCAAAGTCACCAAACTTTTTATGCGGTTTTTATCAGATTTGACTGATACCTCCATCTATGGAGGGCGCCGAATAGCTCACTCGGTAAAGCATCGCCTTACGAAGCAGCAGTGATTATCAAGTCGCGGGTTCGATCCCCGCCTCATGCCAGCCGGCAGTGGCCGGCAGCTTTTTCAGAATTGGCCATTGCGCTACAGGGTTGCAAATTGGGAAGGGACTGCCGGGAAGGCAAAATAATAGTTGCCTTGTTCGTTGCTCAAGCGCCTCCTGTTGGCCAGACGGGCGCTTGTCAGGAAGATTCTAAGCCTGTTCATGACCGGGTATCCTCCGCCCTCGTTCTGAACTCGCGAAGATTCAACCAATGAGTGTATAAGAAGCAGGAGGCTGACAGGTGCGTGCTTCGGAGGAGAGCCGCGAACTGTCTACACTCTCCTGAATTGGCAGCAAGGGGTCGCATACGAGCAAGCCTTGTACATAGTTCACCAATTGGGCATTCCAGATTCGGGTGGGATTGGAGATGCCAAATAAAAAAAAAAAAAAAAAAAAAAATAATAATTCCATCTATGATTCATTCAATGTCAATTAAACAAATGGTTGTTGCACCACTTTCTCAGATCCTCCTCAAATTTCTTTGGGCATTATTTGGGTAATTTTATGAACAAATGCAAAGTATTATGGTGATATACACACAGAACAAGCAGTAATGACCTAATCTGATACCCATAGTTGGTCTAAACTTAACCCTCGCCTAAAATTTTGGGGTTTTAAATTACTGAAAATAGCAATACTAACTCCTTTTACAAGGTCAGAATTTTTTTTCCTTCCAAAATTTTTACTCTTTTGGCGAGAAAAATATAGGAATGTATGAAAATCAATAAATACTGGACTGTGGAATTTCCCTAAATGTCCGTATTATTTCATGGGCGACTTTATTTTGGGTCTTACATACCTATATTCTATGGCTTATTCTTGTGAAAAGACATTGAAAGGGTATATTTTCTTCTTTACTGATGAAAGTTGCATTAGGCAAAAGTTTTAAAACATTGAAAAAAAGCTTAGTTATTGACTTATAGGCCAGTGAAGTCAGGCATAGACCCAAAATAGCCTAACTTTAGGCAGCTAAAAGTGCATGTGGGACACGTGGTATGGGGTTCAAATTTTTTTTGGAGGAACTAATATATGTGAAGTATTTGTGAACTTACTTTCATATTTGTTTCTTGTGCCTGAGATATGCAACAGCTAAGGGGTCATTCCATATGAACTCAACCAAAGTACAAGAATCTTCCATGGTCACCAACTCAGATTTGGCTCAAATTTATTTTGGGAGTACCTCTATATTCATAATGAACACATGCAAAATTTTAGGGTCCTACTCCAAGGGGTTTCCAAGATATAGCCCCCCAAAAGTCGAGGGCTGTGCCCAAGCGAATAGCAAACATTAATTTATAGGGATTTTGGAGGCCAATATCTTTGGAACAAATCACAGGTATGGGCTGTAATTTGCTATCCATGGTAATTTGGGAGCAGGCTTTTGGAATCTCCTGTCAAAATTTATCTATCTCTTTTCAAGATATTGGCCTCTCAAATATGAAATTTTTTATTGGTGGAAATCAAAAATTCAGTTTTCAATAGCCCCCTATGAGGCCAGGATCCCTTACAGAGGCTAAATTGTGCTGTATTCCTTCTGAGGACAGGTCTGTCTGTGCAAGGAAGATTGACTGCATCCAAGGCATAATAGCATAGTTAGGAGACCCTGAAAAGGGTCCTAGCTGAAAAAGTCACTTTTTTGCCAATTTTGGATTGGCAAATTCACCATGTGGGCAGTTACCCATGGTAATGAAACTTGTTCCACATAAATGCATATATCTTGACTTTATTTGTTCAGAATTACAACTTGTTTTCTCATCTCCTTCACCATTTAGTAATGTTATGAAATATATAATAAATCTGGTACAGATGGTGACCTGCTCACAGAGAAATTCAAGCAGTTCAAAGGACAGTAATAGCAATATGATAAGCTGTGCACATATTACATGGGTCCTAAGGCAACACTTCGCTCATTAATGCAATATATATTAGTTAGACTTACTAAAAAATGCCTATAAACACATCTTGTATTTCTCGGTTAAATTGGCCATGAAAGATTCTAGAAACAATGTCCATACTTGAGATATCAATTTTTCAGTTGTTTTTTGTTATACAGACTAAGTTTTGTGTTTCAACTCCATGTCCCACATTGGTTTCTGAGCTTAAATATGCATGGTATTTTTCAGTGTTTCGTAAATACGCATCATTTTGAGGTCAAAGAAGAATAGCTAGCTCTCGGATATTTTTAGGTTAGAGAGAACTTTTAAGGTATTTGTAACATAGAAATCTTGTTAGTTATTTAAACTTGTGAAAAAATGCTTTAATTCTTGAAAAAAATGCCATTTTCACCATATGTTTGTATTGACTTGTGCCACAGAGAAATTAGTGTATTCATTCAAAAATCCTTTTTCTGCTCTCTATTAAAGGTGTTTCAACCCTGCAGATCACTTGTAAGTCTATATCATCAATCAGTTCCTAGAATTATCTTCCAAAATCAGGCCTTTCTACATAAAATGTCTATTTTTGAGTGGGGAAAATAGGGATTAAAATATTTCATAATTTGGAAAACAGCAATCATATGATGTTAAAACTTTGCAAGTAATCTATTCTCATATTGGAAAAGCTAGAAAAAAAGTCTGAAGATAATCAGAGGAGGTCATGCAACAAAATGTTCTCAGATTTGTTGAAATGAGATGGAATGACTCTTATGCAGTTTCTACGTCCCAGTCATCACTGGAAGTGAAGTTATGGCTCCCTCCCCATTCATTAGCTCCCACCGCTCGCGGTGCGAGAGCTATGGTATCAGGCTCCGTCCGTGCGTGCGTCCGTCAACACATTTTGCTTTATCTCATCAACTATTCCAGTTACAGGCCCCTAATTTTTACTGGACATGCATCTCATAAAAGGCCTACAAATGACGTGCCTAAAGGTGACCTTGGCCTATTTTTTCAAGGTCACTGGCCTAAAAATATCACCAAAAACTTTGACTATTTGCTTTATCATATCAACATTTTCAGTTACAGGCTCCTAATTAGCTCCCGCCGCCCGAGTGGCACGGGAGCTATGGTATTGGGCTCCATCGGTGCGTGCGTAGACCATGCGTGCATCCGTCAACAAAAACTTCAACATTTTGTTTATCTTAACGGCGGGAGCTTCTGGGGCCACCAGTGCCCTATATTTTAGATATAAGTCTGGTTTTGTCAGCCCGAAATAACTGCCAGTAGGCATTGCCAATATGGCTGCAGAGTGGCATGACTTGCCTATAAAGACCTTAAGGGGCCTTCCCAGGTTCAAAATGAATTTTCTTTTTTCATTCTTTTCAATTTTTCTCTTTTTTCCCTTTAAGGTTCACCAAGATGTGTACTTACAGCAAATCAAAAGATTTTGTCATTAATTTCATTAATATTGTTAAAAAATGACTTTTTTTGAAGCTCTCACACCTCAAATAATTTTATAAGTCAGCTAAAATCTGGTGACTTTCAACACTTGAGGTGCTGATAACGTTTTTAATTTTTCAACCAAATTGCTAAAATTTTGACTGTAGACTTGTTGGTTATTTCTGCATGCAATCACATTGGCCTTTTCTGATAGGGGCAAAGGTATCAATTTCATGGGAGTGTATGTGTCATCCAACTGAACCATTTGAGGAATCTGTTTTAGAAAAACCACTAGAAAAAAAATAAATACACAATGTATGGAAAAATCCTCATGTGACTGCATAGATATGACATATCTAACAGGGAAAAAAGAATTAAGTGATTTGGTTGGGTGGTTAGGGAGTAAGGCTTGCCTCAATGCGGACCGCGATTTCGCTTATTAATGTCAATTCCATAGTAACAATGTAAATAAAAACCAATGGAATGGTATATTTTTGTGTTGAACTAATAAAATGTAGTGTTATTATACCCATATTGGTATTGGAACACGGTAAATCAAATGAACCTGGGAAGGCTCCTTAATAATCCTCCGCATTTGCCCCATTCTAGGTACCAAGGAACAGTGGGCAGCTGTACTGTGGCCCCCAGAAACTAAGCCCAGTTCAGAAGCCAGACCCCTGGTCAAGAGGAACGGCAGGAGTATCAGCAGCTCACATGCAGGTCTTTCACCCTGAGAGGAAACTGGAGAATCTAGAGCCTCAGGGGGAAACTGGCACAGACACCACAGCCTGACAGTGAAAGCCGCACAAACCAAATTAATCTCACCACTGCTCCACTGCACCGAGTACACAAGAAACCACAGGCGCACAAAATGCTGCAGGGACATGGTAGAGTTAGTAGAGCATCCTTGAAGAACAGCCAGCCCTGGCACAAACGAGCTCTAAAAGTGACCTCCCACAGCAGATCAATACGATTTGTTTCACAAATGGGATCTTTAGGACTGACTGTTCACGCTTATTTGTGAGTGAAAGAATCAAATTTGTGTGTTCACTCATTGGCATGGATAGGTTTAGTAATGTTCTTGTGCGTGTGCATGCCAAATAGTGATGAGTTCAAGATGGTGGTGCGTCTTTTTAATCAAGTACACCTTTTCAAGATGGCTATGTATTGCCTGGGACTAGGAACTCATCAAGATGGTTGTGTGCTTCTCTAGTCAAGAGCAACTCTGAAAACTAATAGAGGACTGTTTTTTCCAGCCAAAAATACAACCCCAATTCCGAAATAGCTGGGACGAAGTGTAAATTGTGAATAAAATCAAAATACAATGACTTTCAGATCACATGAGCCAATATGTTATTTACAATAGAACACAGATAACGTTTCAAATGTTGAAACTGAGACATTTTATATTTTTATCCACAAAATGAGCTTATTTCAAATTTTCTGGCTGCAACAGGTCTCAAAAAAGTTGGGACACAGGCAAAAAAGGGCTGAAAAAGCAATTAATATATAAGAGAATCAGCTGAAAGAACATTCAGCAAGTTGACTGGCACCTGGTGTGTAACATGATTGGCTATAAAAGGGATGTCTTAGAGAGGCTGAGTCTCTCAGAAGTAAAGATGGCCAGAGGCTCTCCAACCTGTGAAGGCTTGCGTAAAAAAATTGTGGAATACTTTAAAAACAATG